CAATTTTCAATCCTTTCTTTGGTTGTTATCAATCCAAACTGGAGGATAGATTATTAATTCCACCTGAGAGGTACATTGACTCTATAGGATCGGTTTTAAAAGTGGCAGAGTTTAAAGTAGTTATGGTAGAACTTATCTACCAAAATTTCAAAACTTTTCATATGGGGAAATTTCCCCTTCAGAGTTTGAGTGTGGGTGCTTGCTTTCTACTGACAGCACCTTTATTCCACTTGATTTGTTTTCATTAGTTACTCAGTTGTTGCAGAACAAGTGTTGTTTTTCAATATACATATATACTTTTAACAGACTGTGTCTACAAGCGTCATTTCCAAAAGACTCTCTCTGGCGTGTAGGAGCATCTACCTGTTTTATCTGTGAAGCTTTTTCTAGATATTTTCTGCTTTTGCTCTAAGTCTGTTTCATTTGTTCAGTTAGGAGTTGGCAACATGGAAATGGGGCTATTTACTATTACGATTTTTATTTATTTTTTTTTAAAGATTTTATTTATTTGTTTGACAGAGAGAGACACAGCGAGAGAGGGAACACAAGCAGGGAGAGTGGGAGAGGGAGAAGCAGGCTTCCCGCTGAGCAGGGAGCCCAACACGGGGCTCGATCCCAGGACCCTGGGATCATGACCTGGGCCAAAGCAGACGCTTAACCAACTGAGCCACCCAGATGCCCCTGATTTTTGCTTTTATATTAACTCCCCTGTTCTGGCTAAGGCGAGTCACCAAAAATAAGGACAAAACTGAGATTTTGTCTGTTTCAGGATCTATTCCTCAATGCTTTCTTAAGATTTTATAAAGACTATACTTGATATCTGGATGTGAGAGAAACTTCAGATATTATGTGATTCTATTTTAATTGATGTCTCTTTCTTTCCAGCTTGAGTTAGATTATGCAAAAATCTCTTCTGTTCATTTATCCTTGGGAATGCCAGGCTTCAGAAAGGGAAGTGGGCAGCATAGATAATGATTACCACCTTTCTCATTGTTTTGGTATTTTCCATTTTTATCAATTTTATCATTAAAGTTAGGAGTATGATTTATTAATCTAAGACCAGCTGACATAATTTGTGGGCTTAGTGCAAAATAAAAAAAAAAAAAATGTGAGGCCTTTTTTTTCCCCCAAAATTCAAGAGAATGTCAATATGACAACAGCTCCACTTAGACTTAAATATTATTGCATCTTTTTTTTTTAAGATTTTATTTATTTATTTGAGAGAGAGAGAGAGAGGGAGAAAGCATGAGCAGGAGGAGCAGCAGAGGGAAAGGGAGAAGCAGGGGAGCCCGATGCGGGGCTCGATCCCAGGACCCTGAGATCATGACCTGAGCCAAAGGCAGATGCTTAATCGACTGAGCCACTCAGGTGTCCCTCCACTTACACTTAAATATGTATGATAAATTGACATAAATTTTGTAATACCTAGCAGGCAACCTTTTATTGTGAACTGTTGGACTGATGTATGCTCTTTTCTAAGTATCAGTGCTTATAACTAACTGCAGAAGCAAATCAGGATAACAGTTCTTTTCAGCAATGTGCCAGATTAGAATTGTCAATTCTGTGCATCCTTAGATATTAGGACATTAAAAGAACGTATTCCTATGTCTATTCTCCATCAATGGCACAGTTAGTAGAAATACCACCTAACCGTTAATTGAGTTCTCTAGTCTTTACACTAGAGACTTATTGGAAAAGTTTGTCTATATTTTTTCTGTCTTTTTTTTTTCTTGGTAGACGAGACATGTGAAGAGTTTATTCCCACTGATTATCTTGAAAATCCTAGTACCCTATAACAATGTATGTATTTCCTCTGTAGAGTTATTCTCTCTCTCTCTCTCTTTAAAGGCCCATTTTGGTGTTGTACCCTTTTGGAGAGATCAAGTTACTGACCCAGACTAACTGTAACAAATCCCTTCATATGATAAATATTAGAATGCAAAGTAATAGTAATTGTGAAAGAGGTTATTTTTAGTTTTGTTTTTTATTTTTTCCTGCTTAGAAACCTTCCATGACTCTGACATCTACAGGATGAAGACCAAACTCCTTTGGGTGACTTATGAGGCCCTCCATGGCCTGGAGACTGCCAGTTCCTCCACGCTCTTCTCTGGCCACCCACCTATTCTAACTTAAACTCTGCACATGTTAAGCTCTCTTATGATTCTTCAACATGATAGGCTGTTTCCTTGGACTATGATGCCCTCAACACCTCCTCTAGATTATCTTGGTAAAGTCTTCTTTCTCCTTTAGGTCCCAACTTGTGATATCACCTTCTCTGTGAGGCCTGTCCCAATACTCACAGGCATGGAAGCCCTCCCCAGGGCAGTACCTTGTATACAGGTCCTTTGTGGCAGTGATTATATTGTGTCATATATGTCACTTTTCATTCATTTACCTTTCACACTTAACAGTGTCTTGCCTGTAGTAGGCACTAAATATGAACTTGTTGAGTAAAATGAATTGAGTGAAATTTTTAAAAACTAATTGAATGAAATAAATAAACGTAACTTAAAAAATAGTATCTTTGACTCAAAAGCTGCACTAATAAAGCAATCTTGAACCATTACTAGAACCATTACTATAAATTCAAAAGGAATAAGAAAAATAATTTTAGAATAAACTTGATATGTAAAATCTGAATTTAAAACAGATAAGGTAATATTACTCATTTCACTTTGCAAAAAGTACACACAGAACTGTGATAAATTATATTTACCTCATATTTCAGAGTTTTCAAAGGATACTTATATACTCTATTTCATTTGTCTTTTTTTTTAAGATTCCACATATAAAAGAGATTATGTAGCATTTGTTTTCCTCTGTCTGACTTATTTCACTTAGTATAGTGCCTCAAGGTCCATCCATGTTGTCACAAATGGCAAGATTTCATTGTGTTTTTTAGTCTGAATACTATTTTAGGCAGAATAATAATTATCACAGTTTCTTTATTCAATCATCCGTCGATGGACACTTCGGTTGTTTCCATATCTCGGCTATTGTGTATAATGCTGCAGTGAACATGGGGGTGCAGATATGTTTTTGAATTTATGTTTTCATTTTCTTTGCATAAATACTCAGAAGTGGAATTGCTGAATCATATGGTAGATCTATTTTTAATTTTTTGAGGCCTGTCCATACTATTTTCCATAATGGCTATACAAATTTACGTTCCTACCAAGAGTGTACAAGGGTTCTCTTTTCTCCATATTCTTACCAGCTCTTGTCTTTCTGATAATAGCCATTATCAAATCAGTGGTTTTGATTTGCATTTCCCTGATGACTAATGATGTTGAGTATTTTTTCATGTACCTGTTGGCTATCTGTATGCTTTTTTAGGAAAAATGTTTATTCATTTTTCAATTGTATAAATTCAGGGGTTTTGTTTGTTTGTTTTCTGGGTTTTGTTTTTGTTTTTTGCTGTTGAGTTGTATGAATTCCTTATATATTTTGGATATTAGCCCCTTCTTAGATATATGATTTGCAAATATTTTCTCCTATTCAGTAGTTTGCCTTTTCATTTTGTTGACGGTTTCCTTTGCTGTGTAGAAGTTTTTCATCTGATATAGTCCCACTTGTTTATTTTTGCATTTGTTGCTTTTGCTTTTGGTACCAGATTAAAAAATCACCACCAAGACTTTTCTCAGGGAGCTTACTGCCTATGTTTTCTTCTAGGGGTTTTATGGTTTCAGGTCTTAAGTTTAAGTCTTTAATCCATTTTCAGTTAATTTTTGTGTTTGGTGTAAGGCAGTAATTTAGTTTCATTCTTTTATATGCGTCTATCAGGTTTTCCTGACACTATTTATTAGAGACTGTCATTTCCCTATTGTATATTCTTGTCTATTTTGTTTTAAATTATCCATGGGTTTATGTCTGGGCTCTGTTCTGTTCCATTGATCTGTGTGTCTGTTTTTATGTCAATATCATAACTTTTAATTACTGTGGCTTTGTAAAATAGTTAGAAATCAGGGAGCATAAATGCCTTTAGCTTTGTTCTTCTCTTGCAAGATTGCTTTGGCTTTTTTGGATCTTTGGTGGTTCCATATAAATTTTAGGATTATTTGTTCTATATCTGTGAAAAATGCCATTGGAATTTTGATAGGTATTGTATTGAATATGTAAATTGTTTTGGGTAGTATGGGCATTTTAACAAAATTTTGATTTTTCTAATCCATGAGCATGGACTTTCATTTCATTTATTTGTGTCATCTTTAATTTCTTTTAGTAAAGTCTTATAGTTTTCAATATACAGGTCTTTCACTTCCTTGGTTAAATTTATTCTTAGGTATTTTATTCTTTTTGATGAAATTGTAGAGATAGTTTCCTTTTTAATTAATTTTACATCATCTTCATTCCAGATCATGCTAAATACTCCTCTCTAGTTACCATCCACTCCTCAACTGAACAAAATTTGGAGACTGCTGTGGTACTCTCAGGCTTTCTCTTATATAGTTTCTCCTTCAGGAATGACTTCCATTAATATAGCTTTAATTATTATTCTATGAATGTAAATAACAAGATATACTTTGTACTTTTTAATTCAAATAGGAATGCCTTTCTGTCAGTTGAAACTCACTATTTTCAATATTAAACCTATTACATGAAGTTGTTCTTTATCTGCATTGTCTGATTGTGTTATTCACAAAGTTCTTAAAAATGTATGTTGATTTATATGGAGACAAGTAGAGTCACACACGATTAACATCAACTTATTTTCACTGAAAGATGAAAAATATTTAATAAAGGAATGATCTGATACAAAACGTTTCTATTTATTAATTTTTCTGTGTATTTTATTTTTTTTCTGTAAGCATTTTACTATTACTTTTAACATAATCAAACAATAACTGTTTGCATATACAAGGGATTCCCTTCTGTTGTACTTCAAATAGCACCAAATGCTTTTAGTTATTCCGTTTTTATAGGACTTTTTCTCTCACTTCTAAAAAATCTTTCAGTATGATCTAGGTGGGGGCAGATTTTTTGTTGTTGTTGTTTTTAAAGTTTCATCCTAAAACATAAAGAACAAAACACAACCAGAGAGAAAACGAGAGCAGATGTGAGCGCATCTGTCCCATTCGGCCCGACTGCATCCTCACAAGTCAATATCCCGCACGTCCGTAGGGGTGCGGGCCTGGTCTAGTTCATCCTCCGACTTGGACCCATCCCCCTGGGTCTGACGGAACTGCTGCAGGCTGTTGAGCAGCACCATCTCAATCTGCTGCTGGCAGGCCACATCCGTGCTGGTGATCTTGGCCAGCAGGTCGACCAGGGCATCGCCAGTGAGCGAGCTCACGTCCTCATCCTGCTGGAGCCCACAGATGGCTGCTCCCACACTTCCAGTTGCAATCATGGATGGCGGGTACATGGCGAACTTAAAATCAGTGGCACACAGAGCAATGAAGGTCTGCGCGTGCTTGCGGGTCAGAGACAACTTCTCACTTGGCTGGGGCAGCTTACGAAGGATGTGCTCGATGAAGTCGTGAGGAGAGACGGCCGCCAGGTTCCACTTCAATTTCCCCAGCACCACCAGCTCCCACTCCAGCGGCTCCTGAGGCTTGATAGAGTTGTCAGTATAAATGCACAACTTCTCTGCCATCAGAGGGATGGTCTCTTTGAGCTTGGAGGCCAGGAACATGCAGACAGCACCCAGGAGCTGCAGATTAGTCTTAGGAGTTGGGACTCCAGCCCAGAAGTGGTCCAGGTAATTCATGGCCAAAGGGAAAACCTCCTCTTCACGCTTCTGTTCCTCGCAAACCTCCAGCATCCAGGTGGCCACCATCCTGAGCATGTAGGGCTGGATGTCCTCCTGCATGCATTTGAAGTATGAGCACTGGGGAAGGTAGTGCTCCTCGCTGGTGAGGAAGTTCTGCAAAACGCGGTCGTCGTAGATAGAGCAGGGTGGCGTTTGGCAGGGCCCTGCGGACCGGGTCCACCTCGCAGCACAGCAGCTCCATGGCCAGCCGGGTGACCGCTCGCTTCCCTGCTTTCTCCGGACTGGAAAAGTTGGGGCTTTTTTGGAGGGGGGAGGGGAGAGGATTCCCCTTACCTCCTTCCTTTGGCTAAATAGGGGGTTTTTGAGAGAAAAGTTATGGGGCAGAGAGAGAGAGAGAGAGGCTGGGGGAGAAGAGAGGAAAGGGATGGGCGGTGGGAGAGGAGAGCCTCCGGGGCTGCTAACTCTGCCTGCCCTCCCCTTCAAACTTGTCTTCCTCTCCCCTGCTCACTCTTCTCTCTTTCTCTCTGTGTATTTTAATTCTAATATATTTATACTAGAAGGATAACTTGATATTACATCAATTTGATTTGAACTGAATTTGGTTGCCTTTATCTTTTGAAGTTTGTGTGTGTTTACCTTTGGTAGCTTTTAAGTAGAAATTATATGTATATGAATTGACATATAATATTTTTTTGGACCAGGTTATAAAAACAACTTTTCTGAATTTGCATCAGAGTCTCACTGAGTGAAGCAAAGGAGCATTGCTTAAAACAATGTTAAATTTAGTTTCTGAATAGCACTAAAAAATGTGTGTTTATAATTGACCAAAGTTACATTTTCCTCTTTTTAAAAATATGTGTGAATCTTAAAATTGCTTTATTCATATTTTGAGACATCTATCTACTCAAACTTCTAGGTTTAGCTTTTTTAGAAACTGAAAAGGAGTTCATGAACTGAATTTTATTTTTTTATTTTTTCATGAACTGAATTTTAAACTCTTGGAGGAAAAAGGTGTTTTCTTTATGTATTGGGATAGGCGTACATGTGAGAGCACAGGTTTTTAGACAGAGGGGAAATATTTGCAAAGAAATACAAATACCAAACTGTATGTTATGCTTGACAAAGTACAAAGTGCTGCACAATTCAGAAATAAAAAAAAAAGCTGTATTTTGTTTGGCAAAAAACGAAATCCCACCTCAGTCAACATATTCTTTTTTTTAAGTTTTTATTTAAATTCCAGTTAGTTAACTTACAGTGTAATATTAGTTTCAGGTGTACAATGTAGTGATTCAACACTTCCATACATCACCCCGTGCTCATCACAGTAAGTGTGCTCCTTAATCCGCATCACCTACTTCCCCCACCCCTCCGCCCACCTCCCCTCTGATAACCATCAGTTTTTTTCCTGTAGTTAAGAGTCTAAACATATTCTTTTATAATTTTACTCACCCCACTAAATATTCAGAAGATATTAATATAGTGATTTTAATATAAGTTTGACTGTGGTGCTGGCCCAAACCTCCCCGGAAATTATACAATAAGAGGATTCATTATATTGTGTTATTGCATGGTATTGCATTGTATTATATTTCCAGAATCTGAACGTTGTTGAATTTTTTTTTTTAATATTTTATTTATTTATTCGACAGAGAGAGACACAGCGAGAGAAGGAACACAAGCAGGGGGAGTGGGAGAGGGAGAAGCAGGCTTCCCGCCGAGCGGGGAGCCCGATGTGGGACTCGATCCCAGGACCCTGGGGTCATGACCTGAGCCGAAGGCAGACGCTTAACGACTGAGCCACCCAGGCGCCCAACATTGTCGAATTTTAAAATATATTTGGGCCCAAGGGTTTTGAAATTGGAATTACAAATCTCTGATATATCATACTAATTTAATAGTAAACATGTATCAAGAAAAACTGGACATAAACAGTAACTGTGACTATGCAATATAAATAAAATGGAGTAGAAATGTGATAATCTTGCTGAAATTTTAACAGTAGTGTTTATTTTGTTAACATGGTCAAAATTTGGGAGAAAAAAACATCAGTTTTTACAATACTGTGACAATGTGATAATGAGTGGAAATTTGAGAAAATCATAAGTCTGTTTTATTTTTTTTAAGATTTTATTTATTTATTTGACAGAGAGACACAGCAAGAGAGGGAACACAAGCAGGGAGAGTGGGAGAGGGAGAGCAGGCCCCCCATGGAGCAGGGAGCCCGATGCCGGGCTCGATCCCAGGGCCCTGGGATCATGACCTGAGCGAAGGCAGACTCTTAACGACTGAGCCACCCAGGCGCTCCCATAAGTATGTTTTAATTTGTAAACAGAGTACTCATTGGGTTGGGTAAACAAAACCTACAGCCATGCCTGCTTGGTAGTGCCTTTTGTAAAAGAGGCTGCTCTGTGTTCAGACAGCAAAGACTCTCTCTGAAAATGCAGGAAAGCTGGACAGAGTAGATACCTCTAAAAAGCCGAAAAGGAAGTTATTTCATCTCCTCCCTCACCGTCATGTTATTGAGTGGTGTGACACTGGAGATTTTATAATAAGTGATGGAGGGAGCAAGCATTTGAAGTAGCCAGTATCTCATGGGGCCCCAGGAGAGAGAATGTGGGCCAAACCCGGGATCAGAGTTTGACTAGAAAAATCATTTAACAGCCTGAAAAGGGCAAGAATGGAAATACCCATAAGCTACTAAAATACACCCAAAAGTTTAAACTTTTCATGCCGTGGAGCAACTGAGGCTTGTTAGCTTCATAAACCACTTATGGATTTAATTGTGTTCATTCATTGACTTAATTTTTATAGTTAGGGAACAAACTACATGGCCTGTATTTCATATATTCAGAAGAATCCCAGATACATGGATGGAGTCATGTCTGTGTAGGGAGAGGTAAGAAAGATGGATATGGCAATCTAGAATTATTCCATGAAAATAATTAGATGTAGAAATGTGTTAAGAATACACTTACAGAAGGTAACTCGATGGAGGACTATGTTAATTTTAACTTTGAGCCAATAAGGCAAAAATAAAAAGCCTGATTTTTATGCCTAGGATAACACATTTTAAAAATCACTTTTTCATTTTTGTCCATGGGGCATAAAAATTTGAGGGGATTAAATTAGAATGTTTTCCTGTTTTAAGGAACCCTGGTTTCTACCCATCTATTTGCCACTGCTCTTCAGAGATGTATCCTTAAATAAAAGACATTTGCAAAGCACAAAACAGAATGTTTTAGGTGATCCTAGAGAAGATAATTTTTAAAAGTATATATGGGAATGTAAAAAAAAAGGAACAGTACATGGAGTTTATTTGCTAATATTTTTATTTTAATGTTTTTAGGGTAGGATTTTGATAGGTATTAAATTCTTTCTACAGAGAAAAATAAGATAGTTCCGCAATCTATTGCAACATTGCATACTTGTCTTCCCTTTATTTTGTGGCTATTACATTTTTAGATAAAAATATCTTTGGGCGCCCGGGTGGCTCAGTTGCTGAGCGACTGCCTTCGGCTCAGGTCATGATCCTGGAGTCCCGGGATCGAGTCCCGCGTCGGGCTCCCTACTTAGCAGGGAGTCTGCTTCTCCCTCTGACCCTACTCCCTCTTGTGCTCTCTCTCTCTCTCATTCTGTCTCTCAAATAAATAAATAAAATCTTAAAAAAAATAAAATATCTTTAACAGGAAAGAACACTATATAAACCCTCCATGACAAAAAAGGGTGGGGGGAAACACATCATAGGCCAGCATAGCCACAGAGGGAAGATTAAATGCAATGGCCACATGAAGAAAATATCTCTCTCCTTTCACATCTGATATCCACAATTAGACATGTGAGTCTGGAAATTGATTCCAAAATATGTTTTTTTTGTTTTTTTTTAAAGACACATTTATTCAGCGTCATGATCAGACTGTTACATTTAGCAATCAACAGCATGGGTGAAAAAAAAACTCTACATTAAAAGCCTTTGTTGGAATGCTTTACACTTTCCACAGAACAGAAACTAAAATAATGTGTTATACAATTAATCACAAATACAGTCCTCGAGTTTTTTTGCCCATACACATGAGTATTGTCTAAAACATGTCTTCTTTGTAGCAGCTAGGCCCTGCCACCACTGTGCTTGGCCGAGTTCACAAATCTCTTGTAACCTGTAGCTTCCCTGTCACTTCTCTGGCTCTCCTCTCCTGCTAAGCTTTGTTTCCTGCCAGTAATTAAAACCTTCTGCCACTGCCATAGCTCTTACTGCTGCTGGAACCACTATAGCCACCTTGGTTTCGTGGGTTGGCAAGGTATTGGCCTCCACCACCACAGGGCCAGAGCTTCTGCCTCCAAAATTTCCTCCTTTCATGGGTCCAAAATTTGAGGATTGGTTGTTGTAATTGCCAGAATCATTATAGCTTCCGCCACCTCCGAAGTTGTTTCCATCATTACCAAATCCATTATAGCCATCCCCACTGCCACCATATCCATCACCACCTCGACTGCCACCAAAGCCACCTCAACCACTGAAGTTCCCTCCACAACCAAAGTTGTCATTCCCACCAAAACCACCTCCACAACCACCACCAAAGTTTCCAGAAGTACTTCGACCTCTTTGGCTGGATAAAGCACTAGCCATCTCTCGCTTAGATAGGGCTTTCCTTACTTCACCGTTGTGGCCATTCACAGTATGGTATTTTTGAATGACAATCTTGTCTATAGAGTCATGGTCATCAAATGTTACAAAAGCAAAACCTCTCTTTTTGCCACTGCCTCGGTCAGTCATGATCTCAATCACTTCAATTTTCCCATACTGTTCAAAATAATCTCTTAGATAATGTTCTTCAGTGTTTTCTTTAATGCCACCAACAAAAATCTTTTTCACAGTTAAGTAGGCACCAGGTCTTTGAGAGTATTCTCTTGAGACAGCCCTCTTTGGTTCCACAACTCTTCCATCCACCTTGTGTGGCCTTGTGTTCATGGCTGCATCCACCTCCTCCACAGTGGCATACATGACAAACCCAAAGCCTCTGGAGCGCTTGGTGTTTGGATCTCTCATTACCACACAGTCCGAAAGCATTCCCCATTGCTCAAAATGGCTCCTCAGACTCTCATTGGTTGTTTCAAAGCTCAAACCTCGGATGAAGAGCTTCCGCAGCTGTTCAGGCTCTTTGGGAGACTCTGACTTAGACATGATGGTGGTGGGAGGGGAGACTAACAATGATTATTCGGCGGTGTCCATGGGCAGAAAGCCCA